CCTGAAGCCTGACATCGTATCAATTTCTGAAGAATTGTTGAGATTGCATTTTTAGACACACCAGCCACTTACGTTATTAGGTAAGTAAAATATAATTTTTTGATTATTTAATTGATTATTTAATTTTTTTTTAAAAAAAACTAAAGGTGAAAAGGTTGGATTTGCCTATTCTGAAAGAAGAACTGATATATAGCTTTGTTAATTATTAGATCAATTTAACGAAAAGCAATTAGAAAGAAAGGGGATATGTATATAAGAACAATGGGTACATATCAACTGATTGTACTGCATCAGAAGCAGGAGCAAAGTGGGAGGGTGTACACAGTATAAAACTCCTCATAAAGGAATTTGAGCTAAGCTTATCTAGAACCTTAAAAGGTATTTTTATACATCTTACCAGTAAGGTCGATTTTGTAAAAGAAAAGATGAGGAAGTTAAATGTGGTCAGATTTGTACATTTTTCTTGGAACTTTTCATTACAATTCTCCTAAATTTTTAATGGGTGTATTATTTTTTTAAAAGGTGCAGTATTGATTTATGTGTGTCAATATATTAGAGAAAGTCCACTTGAGGTCTACACTGATATAAATAAATTTGGTAATAGAGGTTGAAACTGATTAATTTTTAACTGATTAGAATGGTTAATATGTTAACCGGTCTTAGATTTTTTTTTAACCGGTTAAAATAAATGAATTTAACTCTGGCCAAAATTCAATTTCGGCCAGAAATTAAGAATTTTATAATTGCAAATATGTTGTTTAACTCTGACCAAATTTATAGTACTAGTCCAAGTTAATTTTAACTGGTTAATTAATCGGTTAACTAATCTTTTATCCAGTTATTAACCAGTTAAAGAATTTTTGTCAGTTCCAACCTTTATTTGGTAAATCTCTGGACGTATTGGTTGAAATAATATATTCTAAGGTAAGTATCTCTTGTATAATTCTTACTTCTCTTGAAATGGTACTTAACGTTAATTTCTTCTTTAGCTAGTGCTTCAAACGATGAAGGTTGTCAATAATTCTTTGAACAATAAAAGTAATGTAATGAGGTGGAAAATGCAAGTGAAATCAAAAACAAATACCTGACGTCCATCCGTCTCCAAAGAATAAAAAAGATGACATGTAATGATTTTTATTACATTATTTTTACTATAGTATTATATGTTTTCAAGAACTTTAATCACTGTCCATTATTTTTTTTATCAATGTTCCATGTTTATGTTAAATTGATACTATATTGTTTGGAATTTCAAGTATCAAGATCAAAATTAGGCCTTACATGATAATTTATAAAATTTATTCAATTCTGGCATGAGCCATCAAAAATTTTTTTTTGTTTAAAAATCTTATTAACAATGCCTTATTCAATATATCGTACAGTTCCGAAATAGAATAAGAAACCATCAAATTAATATAGATTCGAAAATAAGCAACCCATAGATTTCTGTATAAAAATAATAAAAACATATTAATAAATGTTTATAATTATAAAATTTATTATTGTAATAAACTTTATTCTAACAATAAATTCGATTATCATAAATTTACCAAATAAAGTAAAAACGGGTGACAAATAAACTCCCCACCCATCGGACGTGTTACATTGACCAATCGCTATTAACTAACACTAAATTAATCAAATATATTTGTGACAAATAAGATGTAATACATATTTTATATTTACCAGTATCGCCATAAAATTTTACCCACGTGACTATTTAGCCAGCATTACGGCATTAACTGTGTGACAAATATGGCGTAACTAATAGGATTTTACCGTACATAGTAAAATGAAAGTTGATGGGTATGACGCAGGGTGATAAATATTTTACTATGAATAAATACTTATTAAATAAAAAGATTCAATCCGCTCTTCTAACTATAATTGCTGGAATTTATTGTGAATATATATATGTATATATAGCATATAGCCAATTTAAATTTTCTTTTTGTAAAGTTGTTCAACCGCGTTTTAAAGAACCAAGAAACAAAAATAAAGATCATTTGGGGGTGAAGCTTTTATGCTAAGATCATATTTTATTATATAATCACGTGTCCGAGGATATATTGCATGTTTTGATATATAATGATCGATTTGAAAGTTTTTTTTTATTATTTACCGTTCACCATAAGATCGGATTAACATTTTAATTTCGCGAAGATGGATAGATGAGAATTTGTGTTTCGATAATCACTAAGAGATTTATAATAAGATTAACGGAGTCAAGCAAATTAAAGATACCATCTGTGCTCCCCATTGATGGCAGTGTAACGTAACATCATGTTGAACTAATAAAACATCATAGACTCGCATAATCATGATATGATTTTCCGTAAACAGCTTTCCATCTTCAGCCCCGTACATCTAATTGATTCATGAAGTTAAATAACGTACGCCACCATCTTTATTAGCCCTTCCATTATAACATCGAATGTTATTATGTCAAAGCCACTATTGTCATTTTATTTCAACTTTCTCTAACGCAAGTTTCAAATCCTAATGGTTGAATTCCCTTCATTGGACTTATGTTGCGATCTTGTGATTCTTTCTGCTAGCTCTTGATTTGGCCTTTCCATCATTGGCTCTATTGAAAATGGACGAATAATTTAATTATTATGAGTAACTAAGCATAATACTAGCCATCATGTACCTAAGCACAATCAAAACTTTTAACAACGATCGCTCTTCATAAAGAACAAGATCAGTAATCCAAGCAAACCGAGTTGTCTGAGGTAGGACTCAGTAACTGTGAGTATTTTGTTCATGTTGCTATACTCACCATACTCACGTTATTATGTAGAACAAATAATAGTGACAGCAACTAATGACTATTTTTTTACTTCTTCCGTTAAAGAAAGATGCATAACCCGATCCCTTCAACAGAATCAGTAGACCCGCATAGGGATGCTAATGGTCACGGTTATGACCGGTGTTGCAAGAGATCAGCATTCACGGATGGCGCAAATATTAAAAATATTGAAAATATCGATAATGTCATTTATATCAATTATATGCGTTAAAATAATTATACTAGTTTTCGTTTTTATATTTGTTTTATTATATATATTTATTAAATTTCTTATAATTGTTATTTTTGATATATTCGTTATGTTTGATATATTTATTTTATTTATTTTAGATTAATATTTATAAATTCTGTATATAAACCCCGAAATCCGCTTTGTTCAAAGGAGAGGTTGACGAGTCTTGAGAAGAGACGTCCGAAATCTTGAATTAATAAAATTTCAAGTTACACTTTCAAACTTTATCGTGTCTCCATATAGACTGACTAATAACCAACTACACAAAGAATCGTATAAAGTAAATTGTTATATAAATCTTTCTTAGGACGGGCCTTAGTTAGATTTAATCGTTGTTTGGTTAACCTGGTTTCGGTTTAAATTCGAGTTAACACCGGTCATAATCAGTCATAACTGTGACCGATATCGGTCAGTCAAATGCTCCTGACCGACCGGTTGACCGACTTGAGGCTGAACCACCATGTTTTAAAGAGTAAAACACTTTGTATTAAAAAATAAGAAAATAAACATTTTATTTTACAGCAAAATTCAAAATATGCGGGACACTCGGCAAATTTGATGCCGGGTATTTGTCGGGTTGTCTTGTCGGGTGTCGGCAATTTCAAAAAATATCAATAAACACGTGATAACAAATCATGACACACTATTTACTATTCAGTTTTCTTTTTCTTCCATTTTATTTCTCTTGCTTGACAAGTGCAATTTTGACACATAATAATTTTGACAATCTAAGCAAATAAGACATTCAAACGAAATTCCATTTTTTGTAACAGTATTACAATTAAAATTTTAATAGTCGTACAAAAAATCTAATATATACGTATTAAATGCACCATCAAATTCTTCTGATAACTTTTTTTTTCTTGATCAAATTTTCGAACTAGGTATTATGAATCCACCTTGATATTCAGAAGAAGCTTGTAGTTTTTGACTGTGTTAGAATCATGATGACTTAACTAGTATCATATCTCTACTAATTATTTCACGTTTTAAAATACTTAAACTGATTAACTATACTGAACCCAAAGACCTAGCAACGATTTTAAACTTCAAGATTTGGAAATTATTTTAAAGGCCCCTAATTGTGCGATGAATTTTATCAGCTGGTCGTGAATTAAAAGCTTTGTTTTCTTCCGCTTTTTAATGTCATGTGTGTCATACTAACTTCATCTCTCTAAATTCCATTCGTATAAAATCTTGGAAGTTTTAACTTTAAAACACTAGCGCATTTCAGGAATAATCCATCATATAAAATTCGAAAGTGGGATTAGCGTCTAGAATTTCTGTTCTTAGACATTGATGAGCAACCTGAGCTCTATAATGACTACCAATTTGTATAATGGTGGAGAACATCTCCAAAAGAAAGTTCATAAAGTAACTGTATTGTTAGATTGAAAGGTCAATTTCATTCCTTTTGCTGGAAAGGTTCGTTGTGTTATTAAGCTCATATGCCCAATATCTTGTTTTGTTAGAGATAAAAGCTTACAATAAATGAAAAGGTGGAACGACATAGATTTTGCTCCCAAATTTGACAATGTTGTAATTCTGATCTTTTCTTTGTTGATATGTTACGTATTATATATCTTTCATCTAATTTCTGTGTGCAGAAAACTTGAAGATGAATCACTGTTTGTGAGTTCATTACACTTTCTCACAACAGTGGTTGCGATTATACTAAAATTTTAAAAAATACGCGATAAAGAATTTCAGGAATTGGTCTAGTTATTTATTCTACTGAAGATGGCGGCAGGTTTGCCGGTTTGAAAAAAGAATTCAAGCGAGGTACAGGACAAACATTTGCTTAGCTGCATTTTTCGATCTTTTCCCTTTCGATATCTAATTCATTTGTAATCTCCTTTCGAGAAAAAACGCAAACTTGATCAGATTGATTTTGATGAATAAAGATAACTTTACTCGCAATGCTGGATTGAACATATCATGTATCATTTCGGTCTAATGACAAGAAATTTAGAATTCGATTCCATAAAAGCAAAAGCACGTCGTATCGTAAATTGGGAATCATCTATAAAAAAAAATCCTAGTGACATTGGTATTCCAAATTTTCAAAATATTGTAACAAATAGATTTTTTTTTTATCATAATTTATATAAAATCTAATCCATTGGTTTATTTAAAGTATTAAATTAATTTTTTTAATCACTTCGTGGTTATAATTTATGCATGAACTAATAGTAAAATCACGGATTATCCAACACAATAAACAATTAATCATTTTTCGTTTAAAAGGACGAAATTTATTGGGAAATTGATTTTAAAGATAACAATTATGTTTTGAAAATTTTAATTATAAAACTTTATTTATATTATAGGCCATTACATTAAACCAATTTTTAAATATCATACAACTTTATTATTATATTTCAACGCATTTTTTATTATTACATGAACAATAATTATAATTTAACAAAAATACGAGGACAACCATAAAACTCATATGACATGACTAAAGAGCGGAAAGAAATACAGTAAAATCAAAGTAGGTAGCTCAGAGATAATCTGAAAGTGAGAAACAGCCTCCATTCATGAACAAAGTTTTATTAATCTGTAAGTAAGGGAAGGTTCATAGCAATTCCATAACCAGGTCAGAATAAGCAGATCCTTACTAAAGCCGCCATGAGTGATAGAAAGCATCATCTCTTGAAACCTAACACTGTTGACTGCTATTACGTCTGGCACACGTCAAAACTCGAACTGCCCGCTACTCAAACTACCTGGTCTGTAGTGATAAAAGAAACATATATATTTAATAAATTCATTTTCTTTTATAGATTCTCTTAGTTCAAATGATGTAAAAATACTTTCAGCTCACCTCAAATAAATGTTACTAAATGGAGTATTGCTATCCTTATATCCCTATATCGTTAATTTATAATTTTATTTAAAATAAAATTCGCGTACTAAATTATCCGGCTTATATATTATTGAAATAAATCTAACTTTTCCCGTCATGATAAAGTATTTATATACAATTGTGAGAATTAATGAAATGGTTAAAGGGGAAATCAAAAGGATATAAATAAATAAAGCTAAAATTGTTGAAGAAATTGTTAACTGCAATATACTGTATGTGCAACCGATTTTTAAATAAATAAATATTTAAAAAAATTTAATTTTTAAAGTTTAGTATAATAAAAAAAACTAAAAAAATTTTATGCTAATATTATTACAATAAATATAATTTTAAAGAAAAAAATTTGTTTTCTTTTTTTTTTTATTATTTTTTTTTTGGTATAAGTTTTACTCGAACCCAGTATTCGAGATTACAATGGTCAAATGCTTTATACCGCTATACTATAGCAGCACCGACATAAATTTTAATTTTAATTTAATATAAATCTCATCTGATTTTAAAACAATCATATAATATTTGATATTAATCACCTGGGAGGTTTGTTAATAAAGTCACGTTACGAATCATATGATTTACTATGTTCGTAACTCGATTTTAATAGTAAACCTCCCGCCTGATTGATCAAAAACCGTTGACAAAATTTTTCTTTTTTTTTCAACTTGTTCCTAAAATAGTATCAAAATGAATCTATCATTAAGCCTAAGTAAGTACAGTAAGTCTATGAGTGATATCCTTTTTTTTTGATTTATCGATAATAATAAAGGCATATCTCGAAGGAACGCATCCTCAAAATGGTCCTACAACGAGTTTTTATCCAATAACGAAGCGTTATTAATCGTAACTGTGGAGTTATCAAAACTCTATTTGGAAGAAGAAATTTATGGCCGGCGTAAAGAAATGGTGATAGATGAAAAAATAATTGAAAAAGTATGTGTTCTATAAAGAGAGCATAGTCGTTCCGAGCGGGTACCGTTCCAGTGATAACACACGGAGTATGAATTCACGATGTTCCTGGATTATGTGGGGTGACTTGGAAGGCATTCCTAGTGGGAGATAAATATTTTTTGTGCTCTCGCAAATTTAAAAAAAAAAAAAAAAAAAAAAAAAAAAATGTAAAATTTTGTAACTTTGTTATTTTTTTATGCTGTTCTTTTATATTTTCCTTAGCATTATACTCAATGATTCTTTTTTATTTCCCTTTTTATAAATATTGGCGAAATGAAATTAAGAAGTTTGTACTTATCCAAAGCTTTTGGTTTATTGAATTTTATATCCCTTTTTTATTCTTTTACGTGGTTTTTCCTCTTTCTATTATATAATAATATTCTACCACTCTCGCTCCTCTTGTGTTAAACAAAATTTTATTACATCAAATCTATTTTTGACCCGAACTACTGGCACCTGCCAATAAATCAAGGGCGCTAGGAACTCCAAGACCTCAAAACGCATCGAAAGGATGTTTCTAAAGGAATATATCTATAACTAGGAATGGCGTGAATGAAGGAAAGAAAATTGTGACATACTCTTCAAAGATTGCTGGATATTTATGAAAATAAGACATGCTAAACTCAACATGTACATGAGTTTTGGAAGATATTATATCAAATCGCATGTTTAAAACATTCATCAACTTATGAAAATTATGTATATCGTCCCATTCCCTATGAAAAAAAAATATTTTAGAGAAAAGATTGTGTTTGCTATTTTTTTTACAATAAAAAAAAGTAATACCGAACTCCCTTATTTTCAAATTAAAATTTTTATAGTTTAATTAAAGCGACTATTTTAGCATCAATTAGGTGTATAAGAATTATTACATGCTCTACAATTTTGCTTAGAGATTAAAAAGGAGGTTTCAAACGCATTTTTTGACTTTTATATTATATATTATAAAAGATAACCACTGAAAAAACATTATTCATAATCACCATTTTCCATTTTCTTATTAAGTAAACTTGTAAAGAAGGCAAACTTACGTATAGATTCAATTGTGGAATTCGTATAGTACTTTTTCTAGGTTTTATTTAAAAAAATAAAATGAAAAATTTTCGTTAAGCTTGATAGTCTATTTATGGAAATTATCAGCAGAAATTGATCAAAGAAAAAAATTTTTTTTTTTTTTTTATTTTTTTTATAGACCATTAAATTTGAAAGTTTTTCTAAATCATGAATACTTCATTCTTAAAAACGATAATAGTTATTTAACGATCACGACGTACTTTTTCAAAAAATAAAATCAAAGAATGTCCGTGTTCTACTAACACGTCGTTTTTTTTTTACAGTATTTTACTATATAACAGTCGGAAGTACATATAAACTTGCCCATTATATATAATACTCGTTCCAAAAGTTTTTAGCTTCTTTTTCACTACTTCATACGACAACACATGAAAAATCTTAAAAAATAATGTTTAGTGACTATTAACCGGTTAAAAGATTCAAGCAAAACTTAGATTTTTAGAAGTATTTCAAGTATCTCCCAACATTTTGAAATTTTATGGACTCTCTTATATTGATAATTATCAAGTTAAAGTATACGAATGGGCAGAATTGGGAAACTTACGCGAAGTTTATAATACATACAATATCTTTTAGGTTGCAAATGTAAACAATAATGATCCTGCTTCATCACGATATCCGTTGAGAAATCATGATGACTTCGAGTTTGGAACCTAAGATTGCGAATTTTTGAATATGCACATTTTTACGTACGATGATGAACCAATTAATAAAAAGAATGCTTTTAGTAGAGAAAGTCCAGATATTCAAACCTCCAAAAAATTATGTGCAAATTATCGTTACCGTGATAGATCAATTATTTTGTAAATATAAATTTTTTGACTTCAATTAGCTTGACAAGACGATCCCCAAATTCGAGCTTCATTACTGCAAATTTTCTTCAAGTTACTTGACAGGATTCTTCACCTGCTCTTAAACCTCATACAACTTATATTTGGATGGATATGGAGGAATAGATTTGTCAAATATGATATGGAATCTTTTGTTGATGATTTGCAAGAAATCATGTCATTTAAGGAAGGTATACAAGCTCATAGAATAAAAGATTTTGCGACAGCATGGGGATATTTTTATTGCACACGCAAGAGTTAGGAAATATAAATGCTAAATATTGGAAAGGATATTTATTATATTATCCCTTAGATTGTCTAGCAGGCAAATTTGCATGCGAACTTAAAAAAATGTTATTTTTTTTAATAAAATATTAAATATTAATTTTAGTAATATAATAATAATATGAAAAATATAGTTTAAGTTTATAAGATATTTTTTAAATAATTTAATTTTTAAATTTAAGTTTTAAAAATTTTATTATAATAATTTTTT